ACAAGAGAAGGATTAGGTTACAAGTAAGAATTAATACCATCTGGATTTTGAAACCCGACAATAATCAAATCTGAGCACCGGGTTTTTATTCTAAACCTTTTACAAATAAATTACACATTTTTAGATAAAAATTGGTCTTTTTAACCTTGACTAAAACCATTTGCACCTGCTCCGAAAATATTTCCACCAGGAACCTCAGAAAAATGTCCAATTATCTGTTAAAAATATTCTTTACGCCTGCTTGGCTTCTCTTGTTTCAAGTTCAAACCTTGCCTGTCCATCTTATCATTCATAAAACCTAACTCATCTAATCTTCAACTTAAATCCTATATTTTACTTATCAACTAAAATATCCCGTGGATTTTAAGGTGGCCTGTGAAATGATAGAAATTAATATTTGAATAATGATAGGTAAGGGCTGCATGCAAGCTGTACCTACTGCCTGGAGTCAGGGATACAGGTTCGAATAAATATTACGAGCTAGAGTAAACTCAGGGGCTTATCTTTCCAGGATATAGTTAACATGCAGAAATAGCTTCTGCTAAATCAATGAAAAAAGTTCTAACAAAGCAATGTAAACATGTCCATCAAATAATATACTCCCTCATTATTTGTTAAATCGCGAAGTTTTTTTGAGAGGAACAAAATTACTCAAATTCACTGTTCACATTAAGGCATTGTCAATGGAGTTTTAACTTTTAAGTGACCCATTATTAAAAGAGTGCCATCAAGGGTTCACATCAATACATTTTAAACCTTCATCTAAAAACGTTGTTTTCTCTGCGACATACTTTGCTATGGAAGCTTATATTTCTATCATCTATCATTTTTGGTGATTATCTCTTTGATGAAGAGACCGGTAAAAGTGATCATTTGCATATTGATAATTGTGTTGTTAGGTTAAAGTTTGGTTTAGCTATACCTGCAGGGCACCTACAACTATAGTTAAAGTTTCCCTCTGGAGTACATAGTCCTCTGTTCTGACAAGGAGAAGGATCACATGGTATATACGCAGATTCACAATTCTTCCCTGTATATCCTTCATCACACTGACACCTACAATATTGCATTCAATCACTGGATTCTGTAACATAAGTTTCGGTAAAAAAACGTCTTAAAAACGACAAGTTAAGCATTTTATAAATAAAACTTAATTAGTTCGAGAACGAGTTCATTAAGAACTTTCCAGTCTAGTGGGGTTTTTTTTTATAAATTTAAAGTTTAATAATTAGCAGCAGTTATCACTTAAACCACAAATTTTCCTAAGAATCAATTAACTTAATAAAATTATGTTCAGATGAGTTATTGTAAAAGATTTACATTGCATATATATTAAATACGTTTGACTGCAACAAACGATCTTTTAAGTTTTTCATTTAGTTAAACTCCCAAATAAATATTAAATTTATGAAAATGGTTTTAATATTTGATAAATACTTACAATAAATAATCGAAAAATATCTGAATGAACAGAATCATTACTAAACATGGCAAGGTTAAGCCGAAACTAAATACAAGTATAAATATATGAATACAAGAGCTAACACGGCAGTTTATTCTCCTAGGTTGCATTTTCCAAATATCAAGTTAAATCCAGGGCACATGCTCCCAGTATGATTAATAAATCCGTCAGTAAACACACTGATAAGAGAGTTCGTCTTTAAGAACTTATTTTCTTCTCATAATTCCCAGGGGTTAAACAGTTTTCAGAATAAATATCAGATGGGCGAGGGAATCGAAAAATACTTTGTAATCCTAAAAAATCCTCAAATTACCCCCCCTTATTAAACATTTTTATTTCTTCTAAATTTTCTAAGGTTAGATATTAAAAAAAATAGGAAAGAAACAAAATTTAAAGAAAAAAATTTCGAGCGAACCCTGATTTTGCAGAGTGTGGGAACGAGCTAAAACTATGTGGAGTACCCTAAACCCCCCCCCCTCGCCGGTCCCTACACCCTTCCCCTCCTCCACCCCCTACCAATACAAATATTGTCGGTGTTCCTAGAACATCGTCAACCTTTAATCTACCATCTTTTTACAATAAATCTTCGTTAATTAGTTCATCATAGATTACTCGGATAAATCCCAAAATATTTATAAATTAAAAGATTTAAACTCAAATATAAATATATGATGAGCCAGACGTGGTAAAAGGTTGCCGGAGTTACAAAGCATTGCATATATATATATATTGTATAAGTTAACCTGGCCTGGACAGTTACAGGTCACACTGACAAGGCAAAACCTGCCTCATGATGCCCCCCCCTTTTCTTCAACCCTATCCCCCTCCCTTTTATGATCCTAACCATAGCATCAGCATTAAACAAAATTGGCCTTAATTTCTGATAAATCAATTCATTTTTTACGACAAGTTCAAGTTTTGAATTCACTGTTTAAAAGCATCTCAATATCTGAATATATGATTTCAGGGTTATTCCGAAAGGGGAAAAAAAACTAGAAATATTTTTAAAGACCTCCAAAATTGAAATTCATCTATTTAGTAACATTGCCATTTACATGGGGTCTACAATAAAAAGCCGTCAATCCATAGCAGACGTACTATAGAACATAAGAACATGGGATGATTGAACATTTCATGAATTGACTCCAATCTTTGATCTCCAGTATGACTTGCACTCTGCACTCTGCACATGATTTGAAACATATTGAGAGGAAAAAGCAAAGCTATGAATTGGGCGCAAAAAGAGACATAATTGAAGTTAAGAAAAATTGCGCTGAAATGTTCTGAATACCAACTAGACCAACGCTGAGTGCATTAATCTCCCTCCTCCCTGGGCCCCTGGAGTGAGAGGGGAGGGGGGTGAAGAACGTGTCACATTTCTCGTAAACAATATTTAGTTTTCCTTCTATCCACCCAATCTTAAATTCAGCTAAACAACATGACTGGAGAGGGAAGGACAAGTATCCTGGTCTAGAACTAACCTGGCATACAGATACATCGATATCCTCCTCTCTCATCTATACAGGTTCCCTTGTTCCGACAGGGATTACTCTCGCATTCGTTTACATTCGTCTCACATCGGGGTCCGGAGAAACCCTAAACATTTATTTACTCTTTATATACAATCGTACGTGTTTTAGATTACAACCTGAACTACTGTGCACTGTGAAGTGCAATAATGTAAGATAGATCTGACATAACCGGCGTCGTGAAATGTTTTTCTTATTTTTTAGAAAGAACTTTATCTTTCTTAGTTTTTAAAACTTAATATTTGGGTCAAAAGAAAAACAATGAAATTATTTGTAAGTATATAGCTGTAGTTCTGTTATTGTTTGAAATTTTGGACTAATTGTAGACTGAAGTGGTTGGTTGGTAATCTTGTTGATGTACGTAATATTTACCTGTTTACATTTACACTTAAATGATCCAGGAGTATTTACACAAACTCCTCCGTGTTCACAAGGAGACCCTGAAACAATAGATGATTGAAGAGTGAACACTTGACAATCCTGATAAACTTGTCAGAATTGACACATGAAGAATAAAGATAAAATTAACAAATACTTAAAAATTCAAAACATTCCATTTACCTCCGTTGCATTCATTGATATCTTGAGCACAATCTGTTCCGTTGAAACCTGGGGGACAGTTACACGTATACGCTCCTGAGACAGGGTTCGTGTCACATCTAGCTCCGGGGTTGCAGGGGTTACTGGAGCAGGCGTCCTCTAGGTGACAGAGCAGCCCCGTCTTACCAGGAGGACATTCACAGAAGAATCCTCCAACTCTATCATGGCAGGTTCCTCCGTATAAACAGTTTCCCTCGGCACAGTCATCCTTGTTTGTCTCACAGTTCTTCCCGATATATCCGTTCACACAGATACACTCGTATCCACCTTCAGTATTCTGACAGGTTCCATGGTTCTGGCAGGGATTGGAGTAAGCACACTCGTCCACGTCCTTGCTGCAGTACTGTCCTTGCCAACTGTCTGTGCATCTGCAGGAGTAGGTATTAACTCCGTCCACGCAGGTTGCTCCGTGCTGACAAAGATGACCGGAACAATCATCGATATTCTTCTCACAATTATAGCCATCAAACCCTGCAAAAAGCGTTAATTAAAATATAGTCTGTGGCTTTATCGTTATCCCCCCCCCCCCCTCCTGACCATTATCCTAGAAGCTAGTGTCTAATGTACCTATTAACGATTAGAAGTATTGAGGTAAGATAAGAATAGTTAAGACTGAAACTGATGATGCTGGCTCCTGGGTTTAGGTGCAGGTAAACGATATTAGTGATAGTTCTAGAGATTGAAAATTGTATCCTCCGCAAGGTATTTGATGAAGGTTTAGATTGATCTATGTGTTTGGGTGAGATCTGACCATACCCTCCCCCCCTGCAGCAGGAGCAAACAACTTCTCTTTAAACCTTCCCACGCTTCGACCCCCATCAACAACAGGACGTTCCATCCGGCCATTTCTCCAGGTTTAATAAACAACTAGAAAAAAAACCCAACGAATTGAAAGATTTTTTTTCTAAAATGCTGACATTTTTTTAAGAAGTGCTTTAGTATGGATTTGTTCTACTTATAGTTTACTTCATTCAATCCAGCCATGGTTCTTCAACATAATATTATCAAATTAATTTTCCAAAAATTCTTCAAATATTGCCCTGCACTGCGTATAATGCCTGTAATACGCCTAGTTAAACAACCAAATCTAAATATATAACCCTTTACTTTTATCTTTGCACCTTGATACTATCATATCCCCCCCCCGTTAATAATTCCATAAATTTTTCTTATCTTTCCTAAAAGTTGATTTAATCAAATTCTGTTGTTTAGTGAGAATACCCTGATTGGACCCTGCTGCTCAATGTTCTGTATTGTTTAAATAATTGCTTATTGTCCTCGGCTAAATATAAAATATCAAACCCTAAAAAATATTTATATCTTCCCCCTCCCCA